CCACAAACGTATCTACGGCACCGGTTACATGAGACTTATTCGTTTTATCTACGTCAAACGGATCTTGTTTGGCTCACCCGGGCTCACTCCTCGACCGCCGGTTATTCGCATCACAAACGGAATAGGATTAGCGTACAGTCATGGCGCAGTTGCGGCATTTACCGGGACGACCGAACTAAATTTTGATTATTGAACGATATAATATCATTTGATATGCTGAAAAACATTTAAAATAAACATGAAATCAAACATTGAAAGCAAAGTTTTCGTGTTTTAAATCACTGAGCACTGATTAGCCATGCAGGGTGGTCAGAATAAATTTATCCATCAAAATATTTCATTCATTTTATTTTTGCTACTTACCAAATTCACCTTCAAAGACTAAACCAAAATATCAACAATTTTTTTTTTACTATTTTCTACGAAGCATTCAATTAAAAATGCTTATTATTTTGCATTTTGACGATTCCATTCAGCAAAAAATAGTTTTTGTGAAATACGTCCATTTCCGGTCCGAGTCGTGCACCTCGGCTACATGAGCGATCCGTTCCAAAAACGTACTACGCTAATTCGCATCAGCTCCCCTAGAACTTATTCACGGCACCAACTACAGGGTGATTTTTATACAGGGCAAAAAGTAAAGAGCAATGGCGGTACCAGAAAACACATCAACTGACAGCAAATGTATATCTTTGTACTAAGCACATTCTGACATTTCATTTGCACACACAAACTTTGAGTGTGAGCTCCGTTTAGGCTTACAGAACGTGCTCGAAGTGAGCACAGTTTTAATGCACGCAAGCCTGGAGTAATTGGTGATTTTGGGGAAAACATTTTGTTGTGCGCCATTTTCACGGAACTTCACAACAGAATGAGTCCCAAGAAGTCTTTAAAAGGTCCTGAAAACAAAATGACAAACAATTTCCTTTCACATGGATATACTTTTTTGCGTTTGTTATATGTTTTGGTATCTCTAGGCTTAAAAACTTTTTGCCCTGTAAAAAAATCACCCTGTACATGAGCAAATTCGTTTTAGTGACGTCAAACGGATCTAGTTTGGCTCTCGGCCCGATGCGCATTACAAACGGAATAACATACAAATGTGGCGCATTTCCGTAGCGAGGTGACTGAATTGATAATTAAATATGTTATGTCTTTTTTTGCATTTCATCTTCTCAGAACATTCTAAGTTAACTAGAGAAAAAAGTTGAAAATAAAGTTGTCTTGTTTTGACTTATTGCTCACTTGCCTCTCTCGATTCGTCTGTAGTGCTGTCAGAAAAATGTTTCCACTGAAAGTAGGTACTTAGGCATTTTCTTTTTTTGTTTTCATCATATTTATTTTGAAAACTTGACAAAATACCTAAATATTTTTTAACTTTTGATTTCAAAAGCAACAAATGACAAAATACCTTGTATTTTTCATTTTAAAGCTTCTTTTTGGGAAGTAATAGTTCCTGTTATACGTATCTTGGTCCTATTCGCTCCTAAGCCTGCTTTCCCAGCGGATTTTGTTCGGACCGCCGATTCGTATTAGCAGGTGGATAAATGAGTCGGTAGTACGCTCCTGATTCGCATTAGCGGTGAATCCGATCGTGATACGTATTTGCTTTGGTCATGTAACCGCGGTTCGGATCGCCGATTCGTACTAGCAGGTGGCTACATGAGTCGGTAATGCGTTCCTAATTCGCATTAGCTAAATACGTATTTACTGTGCTCATGTAACCCCGATAACTGTTTGACGGGTGACATTAGGGGAGAGTTTTAACCCGCGCGGGGCTGGGGGGTAAATTTTACCCCCCCTCGCGAATTTTTGCAATATCTCAAAAACGGCGGCGCGCAGCGCCGCCAAACTTTCAGTACCTTTTCGTACATCAATTCGACACGTTTTCTTAAAATTTGAGTGAAATCCGTCGGAAATTTTTTTGAGAAATTGACGTTTTAGTGACGTCATGTTCGCCATTTTCGCCTCAAAAACGGCGAAATTTCAAACGCCGCTAACATCTTCATTTTTAAAGGAATCAAGACGTAAAAAAAAATTGTACTAATTCTACTTTGTCTATCAAATTGCTATCTCGGTTTTTTGAAAATGTTGGATTTTGGCCCAATTTTTTTCAAAAAACTGACTTTTTTGGAAAATAATGATTAAATCCAAAATTTTGAGTGTATCGAAAAAACCGGAATATATGTCAGAGAAGTGGTCTATGTGCACCTACATACCAATTTTTAGAAGAATCGGTTCAAAAATGTGGGAGTTATTGAAAATTTTATGAAGTCACGACACACAAAATTTTTGAAAAAATATTTTTTTTGGAAGTTCTAGACCTCTTACGGAAATAAAAATAGCACCATTCGATTTGTCGTGAAAAACTGCATCAGATAGACACCTTTTTAGGCCTTAACAACCAACTTCAAAATTTGACCTCACTTGACCTGACCTTGACCTGACCTCGGCCTGAAATTCATCCAGAGGTGGTCCATATCACTTATTGAGTGTCCCTATTGAATTCTATGAGTAAAATGACCCATAAAACATGTGTTGCACATGCCCTTTTCTATATTTTGTTTTTGGTGATCTGACCTGACCTGACCTGACCTTGACCTTGACCTCTGAATGATATTTTATGCAACGAATATTGTCTTGGTAGCCTAAGAACACGTTTTGGGCAATCAGTCTCAGTCCATGACTCCATTCTTCGGCAATTACGGTGTAAGGCCGATACTGTAGGAACTTGCAATTTGTACCCTTGACCTGACCTTGACCTTGACCTCAAACTTTAAATTAAGTACATGTTTTTAGTTGTTCGTGATGAGATCTTTCGACTGGCGTTTGAATTTTCCAAATCGGACCATTAGTTCGGGAGATAACAGGGGGGGGGGGGGGTAAAATTTACCCCCCCCCCCAGCCCCGCGCGTTCGGCTGGAGACCCCAGCCCCGCGCGGGTTAAAATCTAAGCTGCCTTGCGGCATTTGCGCTAATATGCGGCGTGTATGCCGCATTGTTTTTAAACTGCGACCACTAAATTAAAAACGAATCATCCTCATTGCTAATCCCTCGAAGAACGTTTGTAAGCCTATAGGCTGACAATCAAAACTTATGGTAGGGGAGACCCGGGAGGTATGGGCCGGTTTTGTGAAAAGGCAATTTTTTTCCAGTGGGCAGTGGCTAGACTCGGTTTTTCACTCTGGGTACGTGAAACTGCCTTTCGCCTGTAACATGTGCCTGATATTAGGCATCTGGGATCAACTATTTTGTCTCGAGGTAACTTTCAATAAATCATGTGCTTTTTCGATCCATCAAAATACACCGGGAGGTATGGGCCATGGCCCGGGAGGTTTGGGCCGGTGCCATGTTTCATATTCTTTTCTCGACAATGAGAATAATAATCGTAGCTGGTATCTACCTTGATCTCTCTAAGAGCCCTGGAACCGCATAAGCGGCCAACAACTTGCTTCATGGAGGTCACTTGGGCCCATATGTATTTTGGTTAACTCAATCATGCACCATGAAATAAGATTAATGATATTTTTCTGTTTGAATGAAATTTGAAGTTAAATTTTCGACCTTGCGCGACAAAAATAAAACTTTTTGACGGGGACATTTAATGAAAGCATCTTTTTATTTATTTAGGATCACCGGTGGTGGGTGGCCCGAACCTCCCGGTTAGTACGCCATAATGTGCGTAGCACCTCAGCTCATAGTCTTTCAAGAAAGCTTCACATTATCTATCCAGTCTTAATTTGCATCCTTTAAACTTTATGTTAGCGATGGTCTGACCTCATAAAACGAGCCTGGTTCAAATTTATCACGAATTTTCTTAATGTACCGTATTTTACTCGAAGAGGGCAAAAACACTTTATCACCGCTCATTGCCAAAGAAGACTGAGGAAGTTTTTGAAAATCACGTGGAATGTATAACGGAATGGCTGCTACCAGTTAACGCCGTCAAATGTGTAAAAATACGCAACACTTCTTCAAAACCGCGATGGCCCATACCTCCGGGGGGCCCATACCTCCCGGGTCTCCCCTACCTATTTATCTTTATCATGTTATCTCTTATTTTCTGTAACTGCTTTCTCATATACCATCTCAGAGTAATCTAACCTTCTTTTGAATGAATAACACTTCATGCCTAAGATGCTCTCGTTATAAGATTCTCAGGTTGAAATTTACTAATTTACGTTCACCACAACCTACTTTTTCCTACAGCGGGACAAAGGAAGACTCAGTCTCAGCCGACTACAGCGGGACATTATGGGTTTCAGCCGGCTCCAGCGGGACAAAGTCGGACTCAGACGGTGGGACAAAGTGGAACTCAGCCGGTCCCAGCGGGACATAATGGGATTCGGCCGGTCCCAGCGGGGGACACAATGGGACTCGGTGGCACTCGTAAGGTCCCAGCGGTGGGACTCAGCCGACTACTGCGGGACATAGTGGGACTCAGCGGGTTTAGCGGGACAAATTGGGACCCAGCCGACTACAACGGGACACAATGGGACTCGGCCGGTCCCAGCGGGATAAAGTGGGACTCAGCCGGTACCAATGGGACAAAATGGGTATACCTATAGACGACGTATATACGTCGTCTATATCCGAGTTGAGCCATGCATCGCTAACTCCGACTCCGGAGTCGGAGTCGGTAAGATTTTGGCGACTCCGACTCCGACTCGGACTCCGGGAAGAACTGTCGACTCCGACCGACTCCAACTCCGACTCCGACTCCGACTCCGCAGCCCTGGTCTTGGTAATGATCACCGGCTGGTCCTCTCTCGGCATACAAATGATTAGGACGTAAAAAGACAAAAGAAATAAATGCGACCAGCTCCGTGGTTTTGTAACATGTATAACTGCTATTTTGAAGTATTCAAAAATCAAAAATTATTATTACGTCATCAATAACAACTTTCCTTCGCCTCAGAGACCAAAATTGACGCGGTCAAATAGCAATCCTTGTCAGAATGTCGGAAGTGCGCCAGTATTGTAATGCGTGATGTTTGGGCCCATGTCAGTCAATATTTTGATTATGTATTTGTAAGGGTAATTGTGTTATTTTCGTAATGTGGGGTGGGACAGAACAAAAAATTGGATAATCAATGAATTTGCATCACACTTTGTTTAGCTGATAGCTCTTTTTATGCCGAACAGACGCAAATAAAGTAACATGTGGGCTGATGTGGCATTTGCTCTGATTTCAACATCTCATTTAAAGGGACACTCCCACCTTAACATTAGTTTTGAGTTGAGATAGCCAAATTGGTGGCCATGGCCTGCAAATACAGGTTTGGGCACTCACAACATCGACAAATGCTTTAATTCGGAGATATGGAATTTCAAACTTGCAGTTTTCGGATTCTAAGGGGCTAGTGCATTGGTATGCCCCCTTAGAATTTGTGACGTCAGCGGAGATCTAACGATTTTTAAATCTTTTACTAAAACGTTTGGTAGCACGCGGTGGTATATGCTGCTTTGCGCGCAACAAATGCCGCACTTTCAAATAAAGTCGCTAGGAACAGCGGAGATCCCAAAAAGTAAACAAAAGTAAAGGTCTAATATCTTGAAAACCGGTGAATATTTTTCGATGAAATTTGGTAGATATTCGTTTTCGCTCTTTCTGAACCGAGCGACATCACTTTCGTGCCAATTCATTAACTTTTTTGAGGGTGGGAGGGTCCCTTTAAGTCTGGGTTCTTCCATGTATACCTAGTGCACACTGCACATAGACTTCAGTTCAGCTTCCTATAAGCTTGTTTTCAGGTTCTTTTATGTTTTATGGAATCCTTTCATCAGCATTTATTTATGCTTTGTAGTTTGTTGCTTGTACCACTGGTTTGGTCATTGCTAGACTGTGGATGCTATTGCTGGTTGTTTTCAGTTTTGCATTGGAAATGTGCTTCCTTGATATATTTTTCTATTTGGTTCTGTTTTAAAAGTTGTTCTGAGGCCAGTTTTACCAACAGAAAAATAGGCGGCTGCTGGATTTTTTGTCTTAAGGTTACTTCACATACAGAGCATGAGCGGTACAGCCCTATCCATTTACGTGTCCATCATGTTTACACTCCGTATGTGAAGCAGTCTTTAGGCAAAAAATTCCAGCAGGCGGCTATTTTTGTGTTGATAAAACTGGCCTCTGATGAATATTGTATTGTTAACCTGAGCAAATGCACCTGGCAATCTGGCATTGTGTTTTGCATAAAAAATTAAATAAAAAAATATTTTATAGGTTCTAAGATCTGACTGCCAAATACCCGCCACACGACTAGGCTTTGCTTCTTGAACCCTCCAAAAACCTTGCGGGTTTTGAAAACCCGCAGAAAGCGGGTTCGCAGGTTCAAAAGTGGCATCTCTAATAGATATGTTGACTTGATTGGTGTGACAGCTGTGCAGTGTGCGCTGGTCACTTTCAGGGGCTCCACTACAGTCGCAGGGTTGGGGGATATCCAACCCTGAAATGCACGGCTTTATAAATTAGGCTCATTACAAAAATTCACTTTCATTGGCTTATGTAAGGTACCGTAAAACGGGGTGTTAAGGGACAGTTTTGAGGTGTTTTGTTATATAACTCAAGAAGGGTTGGAGATAGAAGCATCAAGTTGTCAGCATTTTATGTGGAATTTGGTGCTTTACATGCCTGCTACATTAAAGTTTTAAAAATATATACATGCATATTATTTTTTATTATTTTACATCACTGTCCCTTAGCACCCCAATGTGGGGTCTTAAGGGACACCTATATCATCAGTGACGTACCCAAGGGGGGGCCACGGGGGCCAAGGCCCCCCTGAGCGCCGAAGGCGCTCAGGGGGCCCCTCAGGCCCCAGGATATTTTTTAAACACTGGATAAAACGTCTTTTACTCGGAAGAAAATTGATATTAAAGTTTCATTTATGTGCCCTGGGTACCCGAGGGGCCCCTGCAGTCATCCAAGGGCCCCCAGTTTCCTGGGCCCCTGGTCGCCTAGGGGGCCTCTGGTAGCTGGGGGCCTGGTCTCATGGGGGCCCCTGATAGCCTGTGGCCCCTAGTCGCCTAGGGGGCCCTGGTCGCATGGGGGGCCTCTGGTCGCATGAGGCCCCTGATCGACTGGGGCCCCTAGTTGCCTAGGGGGCCCTGATAGCCGGGGGCCTGGTCGTATGTGCCCCTGATAGTCTGTGGCCCCTAGTCGCCTAGGGGGCCCTAGTCGCATGGGGGGCCTCTGGTTGCATGATATTGAGGCCCCTGATCGCCTGGGGGTACCTAGTCGCCTTCAGAGGAGGCGACTAGGCCGGTAGCCGGGGGGCCTGGTCGCATGGGGCCCCTGGTTGCCTGGGGCCCCCGGTCGCCCCTAGTCGCCTGGGGGACCCTGGTCGCCTTGGGCCCCTGGTAGCCTGGGATCCCCTGGTCGCCTGGGGGCCCCTGATTGCCTGAGGGCCGCTGGTCACCTAGAGGGCCCCTGGTCGCCTGGGGGCCCCTGGTAGCCGGGGGCCTGGTCGCATGGGGCCCCCTGTTCGCATGGGGCCCCCTGGTCGCCTGGGGGCCCCTGACCGCTTTGGGGACCTGATCGCATTGGCCCTTGGTCGCCTGGAGGGCCCTGGTCGCCTGGGGCAGTGGGGCCCCTAGTCATCTGGAGGACCTGGTCGCCTGGGAACCCCTGGTCGACTGGGGGCCCCTGGTCGTCTGAAAGTACGCTTATCACCTGATTGATCCCAAATCATCTGAGTGGCTACTGGCTACTGGATATAAGTAGTGACTGGAGTAGGCACTCATCTGAAGGAGCCAATATCTTTCACGGTGCCGGAGATATCACAGAAAAACAAAAAGGCTAAACTGAATACCCCCCAACCTTGGCCCCAAAGGCGTCATTGGCTAACACAGGGATGTGGGTCGATTTGCAATCGCATTTCCTCCTAAGTCCTATTCCTCCAATTAATACAGAGTGTCCCAGAATTACCCAAGCATTTATTTTCTGGCTAAAAGTATTGCGCTCGTTTCCTAGTGAAACATATAATAGCCGCGTTTACATACGGCTAGTTGCCAGATAGTGGAATTCCGATAACGAGACATTTATTCCCCACTATTATATTATATACCTACATATCCGGAATTGGAGGATGTTCAGTAATTGAGGCGCTCGCTCATAAAATGCCGTGCGTTTCATGCACACTCCTCAAGCAAAAATATTTTTACTTTCCAATTTTCCACATTTTCTCAAGGCTTAGACCGTTACAGAGACCGTTTTAATTGACTTTGATGAAGTTGAACGTGAGAAATCACAACCAAATGCTACATTAGGTTGTAAAGAACTGAATTGCGTTTTCCCACACACGTGGCGTTTTCTCACCTACGTCTGCAGGAGAGACAGGACCCACTATGCCCCCCCCCCCACCATCGAAAGGTTCTTCATGACTCCCGGGGGCCCCCGGGGAACCTGGGGGGCCCTATACACTGTGGGGGGCCCCTTCGACAGCAGGTGGCCCCCTCCTGGGCGAAATCCTGGGTACGTGCCTGTATATCATTCCAAGAAATGGTCATCATATGCCCACAGTTGGGGTGTGAAAGGGCACACAATTTATTTATTGAAATGTTTTTTCATATTCTGTCACAAAACAAGTCAGGTTTATTCACCACTAATGGCCTTTTTAGCCAATTACATGATATGCAGTTTACGCTTCTGGAAAATGTGCTAATTATATGGTAAACAGAACCAAAAAGTACCCTTCTGTCATCAACAAAAACCCATTTTGAAGCTAGTCACTTGTCATTATGTTGCCCTCATTGTTTTGGCCTTTTGATGATGACATCACATTAACCTACATCAGTCTTCATTGACCCATCATTGTAAAAGAGTGTTAGGGGAGTTTTGAGGTGTTTTATTATATAACTTAAGATGTGTTAGAGATAAAAGCATGAACTTGCCAATATTTTATGTGGAATTTGGTGTTTTCTATGCCTACTGAAAGAAAACTTTATGAAATTATATTTAGATATTATTTTTTATTTTTTCTTCCCTGTCCCTTAGCACCCCAAATCCACCTCAAAATATTCATGTGTCCGGAAAAGAGGAAGAGGATGATGAATGAATGGGTGGATTTGTATACGTTTTTCAGGAAATATGTGCAATACATGTGACATTACACCTATGCATTCATTTTACCTGTACACCCACTAGTTTATGTGGTACACACAGAGTTTTTGGAGATGTCTCAATTTTGTGAAAATTTAGCGTGATTTTCAAAACCATTTTTGAACCAAATCACTTCCATGAGAAACCATGCCATTTTGTCCTATAGTCAAGAACAAAACAGTGTCAACTACCACACTCAAGTTTTTATTTAACCTTCTCAAATTAGGAACTTAACATGACTCAAAGTTTTTCCCACTCAACTGTCCCTTATCACCCCACTGTCCCTTAAAGGGACAGTATCATCGAAAAAAAAATCCATGTATGGAGCTGATTTTTTTTTACTAGCATTTCTTATTTTTCTGAATCAGAAAAACATAGTTTGAGGACCGAACTCGGTGAAAAATATTGCAACCACATTTCATTTTCATGATTCATTTTCATGAGCGAACCACCACTATACAAGCTAGCCGCCAGTTTGGAAGCATGCAAAATTACTACAGAACTGGCGCAGATAATACATTATTGACGCTACGCTTACGCGGTCGTTCTTCTGATTGAGTTGTCCTTAGTGAGAGGTAGCCTTAGGTATTGCCTATAAAAATATAACGTGACAATTGGAGGGAGTGACAATTGGACGTGACAATTGACAATGGGAGAAAATATCACGTGACAATCACGTGATAAACGTCATACATTGGAGGGAGATTGTGATTCAAGCTGGAGGAATTCCTTTGTTGAGCCGCTAGAATCCGAAGGAAACAGCGGAAATTGCCTACGACTATTTAATGAATTTAACGGTGATGAATAAGTGCGAAAAACGTTTTGGCTTTATAAAATTTGATAAAGTGACCAGGGTAAAAGTTTTATTACTGGCGGTCAATTCAAAACGGCGCAAACATTTAAACAGTGAAGATAGTGAAGCACGATTCAAAGTGTGGTACACCTTTCGTACTTTGAGCGGCGATAGCGAGATAACGGTGTGGAGCTTCGAGGATCGGTCTTCAGTTCCCGGACCAGAAAGGTGGGGCCTATGCAATGTCAAATTTCATCAAAATGGTGATACTGTCCCTTTAACACCCCATTTTACGGTAATTAGGATTTAGGAATGCTAGCCTATACCCTTATATTTCACGGGAACGGAACATGTAGCTGCAATACATGCTTTTTTAATGAAAATATCTGACTCTGGTTAATAAAGCTACCGCTTAATAAATCCAAAACACCTTGTCACCAAGCTGGATTTATTAAGCGGATTCCACTGTACCTAGTTTCTGTATCATTTTCAGTTTACTGTACAAGAAAGTAAAATGAATGCTACAACTGCCAGCGTTGGGAGAGTGCAGAAATAGTTATGTCGCCAATTTCGAGCTACAGCGCTTCCTAAAAAAAAACTGCCAAATTACCCCATCCTCCCCTATGTCGGCTCGCATTAGCCGCGCGTTTGCAGTCTTTTCGTGGTTTTAAGCGTTCAGACATTAGATATGATGTTTGTCCCATGCGTTAGGGTGGGACCAACACCCGGAATACCCGGCAGGACACCTACTGGTTGACCTGACCTGACCTGACCCAACCTGGCCTAAATGCATGAAGACATCATCTGTGATCAAAACTTACGTGATATTCGTTATCAGCACCCCGAAAAACCCATAGCAGCCACCCTTTACGACTTTTTAAAGGGACCCTCCCATCTTAACATTAGATTTGAGTTGAGATAGCCAAAATGGGGTCCCTGGCTCACAATTACCGGTTTCGGCACTCACAACATCGAGAAATGCCTTAAATCGGAAATATTGAATTTCAAAATTGCAGCATTTTGATTCAGAGGGGCTAATGCATAGGAATACCCCTCTGAATGTGTGACGTCAGCGCAGATATCTAACGATTTTTAAATGTTTGACTAAAACGTTTTGTAGCACGCGGTGGTATATGCTGCTTTGCGCGCAACAAATGCCGCACTTTCAAATAAAGTCGCTAGGAACAGCGGAGATCCCAAAAAGTTAACAAAAGTAAAAGTATAATATCTTGAAAACCGGTGAATATTTTTCGATGAGATTTGGTAGATATTCGTTTTTGCTCTTTCTGAACCGAGCGACATCACTTTCATGCCAATTCATTAACTTTTTTGAAGGTGGGAGGGTCCCTTTAACAGTACTCGATTTTCCCGACTTTTGGGTCATTGACCTGACCTGGAAGGTCAAAATGACCTAGGACCTTAAAGTTGGGTACACTCGGATGCAGATTGATGTTCCACCACTCCCCACCCATCGGGCTCCCATGGCTCAGCACTGGCCGCTGCCAGTGTTGCCTGCCCTTAGCACTGCTCAGCACTGCCTGCCAGTGCCAGTGCTGCCAGTGCTGCCACTGGCAGCAGCCAGTGCTGAGCCATGGGAGCCCGATGGGTAGGGAGTGGTGGAACATCAATCTGCCCCCGAGTGTACCATCGGCTTCCTCTCGTCACGGAAAACGCTCGTTTTTTCCACGAAGCTGTAGCTCGATCAGGGCCCAAACGGCAAGGGGGGGGGGGGTGCCGGGTGCAACGGAACCCCTTCCCTTTTTACCTACTCTCGCGGCTGGCAAAACACCAATACGGGCGAGGGTTAAAGAAGAAAGGGAAATTTTATCAAAAAGACGTATATTGAGGCACAGAGCAGCATATTTTAATAAATCCAACCGGTTTCAAAGACCTCTCGTCTTCGTCATCAGGGATTGAAATATACAGAAAGGAGAAAGATTACATATTTAAGCGCTGAAGAAAATAGCTATAATACGTCTCAATATACGTCTTTTTGTTAATCTTTACCAGAGCAATGAACAGTAATATCAATATTCACTCTGTGATAAAAGAAACATATGGAAATCGGGAAATTTTATCATCAAGTAATTATCAGTGTAAACCTCTAAACCAGCTAAAGGTTGGGTGGTTTCACACTATGAATCAATGCCAAACATTACCTAACTTTTTAAAAAAACAAATTGAGACATTTAATACTTCTGAAGCCATTGCCATTGAATACTACTGAACTAGTCACTACTGAATCCATTGAATTGGAGGGGCTTCTGATCAAAATGTGGGACTATTTCGCGAACTTCTTTTCGGAGTTCATGCATTAGATTTTGGAAATGTGTTACTTGAATATGGTATTTGTCACCGATTTTTTTTTCATTTACGATACATTTTGCTCGAACCGACTAAACGTCCCGCGCTGTTTCGTCGACGATGAAAAATCTCATTTTATGAAGAGATAGGGTTATTCATTCCATTGGTCTGTCAAAGGGAATATTTGATAAATAAATCGATAGGCAATAATAAAAAACAGGCTCCGATGCCCATCAACCAGTTATAGGTATACAATACCGAAAATGTTCACAAGAGAATCTCGCCGACACACGCAACACCCCATGACGCCAGACGGCTGACGGCTGGCGCGACGCCACATCGCGGCTCCGACAGGCCAATATTTTTCACCCGACTGGATTGTGCAATCATCTATTGAACGAAAAACGTTTCCGAAAAATATGCTGAATTATTACGCAGGTGTATAGAAAATTAAAAATCACGTTGAGTTTATTACTGTCAAAAACCAGTTTTGCCACCCCCTGCAACCCTGTATCGAGGTAGGTAATCGAGACTGAATAATGTGCATTGTGTACTGGATGAGGTCTTTTTAACAGAGGTGGAGATCTCGGGGGGGTCGGGGGGGGGTCAGGACCCCCCTGAAAACGAATTACTGCTATGTAAGTCAATGGTACTGCATCCAGCCCGCCTCCATCTGCCCGGCCTGGACCCCCCCTGAAATTTTGACAGATCTCCACCCCTGCTTTTAACGCCGTTTGCATTTTGTGGTCCGAATATTGGTTCTGAAGATACGACGAGAGCCCTTTGTCCCTCTTGCCCCCAGGCAGGACACGAGGGGCGTTCAAAAAGTTCTCGGCCTGACCATGAAGGAGCAGAGATACGACGTCGACTTATTAGACCAAAAATGTTCATTTAGTCAAATAACCAGCGTTAAGACAAAAGCATTTCGCGCAGCGCTTCGCGAGAGGCCCCAGGGTCTCCATAGCCAAGTTGGTTTTGGACCCATCTGGCACGTCCAAGACGGCTGCTTTTGTCTCCTTGCTGTCAGCGAAGTTGCCATTGCTAAGCAATTTCCTTGTGTTGGGGAAGAGGTGGCAACCAGTGGGTGCAAGGTACGGAGAAAAAAGTGGCTGTGACAACAACTCGAAGCCACAGCTTACTGCTTCGCTGATTGTTACCCTGTTCATGTGTGCTGGTGCATGGTCCTGGATCAGGCGCACACTTTTAGTCAGCTTCCCTAGTCTCTCCTCGATATCTGCTGCTCGCTACTGTTATCGAAGGGAGGTGTAGTATTCATCATCAATTGTGCGCTTCTGTTTTAGGAAGTTGACGAGCAGAGCCCCGTCAGCATCCCTAAATGCAACCACTGTCACCTTGCCGACTGACTTCAACACGTCACACACATTTGGTGGCCTTTACTCAGTGTGCTTCCACTTGTGCAACTCGGTCACGCCCTTGGGGTCAACGTGTGACACCCACAATCCCTCCACAGTAACAAGTAGTTCAATGACCTCTTTTGGATCTTCGATATAGGGACCAAAATTTTCGCGTTACGCCGCCTTTCGAGTTTGCCTTTCCTCTGGAGTCAGCAAACGGGGATGCATCTTGCAGAGATCTTAAACATATTAATACGCTGTTGAAGAATGGCTTTGAGGAACCTGATAGACACCTCCGCTTCTGCTGCGCTGTTCCAAACCAGAACATTTGTCATTTTTCACAAAGAAGTGCTTATTTTTTCATATTTTCTTGAGTCAATGCTGTTGATGGCTGGCCACTGCGGGGGTGACCATTAAAGGAAAAGGGCCACCTTTAACATGGGGATTGAAACTGAGATAGCCATCTTGTAGCCCGTGTCCGAAAACCCACCTGACCAGTCTATATCCTTACGGCCGATTTCGGCTTCCATTCGTAGGTATCGGCAATTTTAAAAGAGGAATGCGTCCTTATCCCAGGAATGCGTCCTTACCCTGTAATACAGCCACCCGCGGCGAGGCTTTGGTTTTTTACCAATCAGCTCCAATCAGCTCAGCTTTAACCAATCAGCTTATCTGACACAATCCGACGAGTCTGTCTTCTGTACGCTGATTGGCTTGAGTGTGACGTCATCGCTATGCCATCATACAGTAGGTGCCGTAGAGAGTATCAACATAGTACCAATATGTTAAATAGTTTTAAATACTTTTTCGCGAATTGTGCACTTCTGGCACCAGTTTTAAAAAGAAAATGAAAAATAATAATGTCAAAATGAAAAACAACGATATCTTCATATTTCACGAAGGTGGCCCTTTTCCTTTAATGATCTGTTGACCAAAATTGAACAGAGATGCCCACTTGTTGACGCTACTGTAAGAAAGACAAACCTCAACATGTGTTGGCACTAGCTTTTTGTGAATAACGTTTGGTGCATTTTTCTGCAATACATGAACCAAATCACTGCTCTCTTCTGGGCGTCGCCCATTCTGACCGGGAAATGGCAAACTATGTTACGATTAATTAGCAGCCTGAACCAATCACAGGGCAGATTGGTTAATGGCTACGTAAGTGGACATCCCAACAACACATCATTGAACACACCGCGTTGTAGCCCGAAATTCCAACTCCGTCATGGTTGGGCCGAGAACTTCTTGAACGCCCCTCGCCAGACCTCAACGGGACGTGGGTTAAAGCTGTCTTGATGGACGACTGTTGGATAACAGTTGCATTGACTAGCAATATGCAGATATTGTGACATTGTTTTTACTGTTGTTTGTTGCCAGATACATTGGTTATGGGTACCTATTTTGCGTTTCTGTAGTTTTTTTTTCTCACATGAATTGCTATGCCAGTGATGCTGCAGACGTTACGAGCGGTTATTTTATGAAGCGTCACGCCTCTCGCTTACGGACAGGTGAGTAAGTGGTGCAGCTGCTGAGCCGGTGGCTGTGCCGTTACAGACGTTGCTGCTGAAGTCGCCGCCCGGCTAAGATGCCGTACACGGAGAAGTATCTGCGGGACAGACTGATCGCCGGACTGGAGGCAGCTCACGTGGTGAGTAGGCCGCGCGCAGCTGCACACGGGCCTGGCCACATGCTAAGCCGGGCGACACGGGGTGGCTGGCGCTGTCCTCGGCATTGGACAATCTACATCGCGCCTAGTAGGCATACCAGCAGCTGACAAGGCAGTTGCTGCAGGATACGTCGCCACTCGCCGCGCCGGTTTGCTGGGGAGGGACCAATGTCAGGTCAAACACCTGAAATCGGGCTTTCAGTAGCGTGGACTTTATAACCTCTTACTGGAGGTCTCTCGTCATAAACTCTGTCAAGACTGTGCAGTGAGCACAACCCGTCATATAAGTGCTACACGAATGTCAGATCCATGTAGGGGTCGGTCAAGCATAGGTCAGGTCAGAGACAAGGTCAGGTCAATCCGGCAAAAACATATCCCCGAAAATCAAAATGGGTATTCATAAAGACATAATAGATTTGCAGTACAAGAGCTTCTGGAGCCCATGCCTGGTTGCACATTTGCACAGTCTGTCAAAATGCGTGCCACCTTTCCGCTTTTCTCCGTAACTTTTGTGTGTGAAGCTGGCACAAAACAGCGACACATTGCAGGCGTATAACATACACCACATTACACAACATCTCGCCACTTCATCACTTCATCAATCATCGTTTCGTCACAACTCACAACTCTTCCCTGCCCCCCCCCCCCCGGCCACACACCATTAGGGCACTGAGGAGGGCAGAAAGTAGGGCACGGCAGGTTACAGGGCATGGCACAGGACATTTTAGAGGGAAGGTACAGGTCAGGGCACACAGCAGGGCACAGGTCAGGGAACCGGACAGGGCACAGGGCAGGGACGCAGTGGGTCAAATCAGCAGGGGCTACGTCCCAGAATGGGACGCAGTAAGTGCCTTAAAATATGCCCTACTAACTGTAAAGAAAATTTCATAATAATAATATAAGAATAACCAGTAACCTCATAATATAAATCAGAAATAGGAGCCAAAAAGTTATATTTAAAGTTATCGAATATTTCGCTCCTGGAGCTTCGTCAGCGATAATTACAGAAAATTCATCATGAGCCTCAAGCAGAGTTTCAGCTTTTTAAGAAGTAAAGAAAATTTCCTTTAAAGATCGATATTTGGAAGGCTAGAAGCAGTTGATTGTGGCCATGTCCGCGACTACAGCGCCACCTCTTGGCGAAATGTGCAACTAATTGATGGCTTCTTCATTCAAGCCAAGGCCGTATAAATTCAAGCAAATTATTTTGATATAAACACTTTTTTTGCACTTCAACAGCTTGACTATGACATTCTTATGTATTTTTGCCCTAATTTTGGGAGTGGCGTGCCAGTTAAGCATTAAGTGCTTCTGGTTTGCTGACCGGCATTTGTACTGTAGCTTTCATAGATGTCGCTGCGATCGCGTTGGGTATTATATGGAGTCTACAATATGGAAATAAATGCTCAAATATTACAGTTTACTATTAATTCGACCACCTCACAAGCATATTAGGAGTCTGGATGTGTGAGCCAGATAGTTTATCGATTGCTTGGTTGTTCCTGTTGACCCCGGTCAGCGCCGGCACGCAGTCAATCGGCTCTAGCATAGGGGCAGAAAACCGGAGCCACCACGTCGCCGTGTTGTAGGTCTGCTGGACAATACATTGTGTACTGCCTATAGCATTGAGGCTGACCCCGCAAAGTCACGAGTAGCAGCTGTCATGCCGCAGAATTCGCATCCTTGCCTTATACCAGTGGCCGGTCGGGTTATCAAAACTATGATTACAGCCAGGAAAGGGTTCCGTCGAGTAGTGGTCGGATCGAGAGTAGACTTCAGGCAATAGAACGATCTGCTCCTCTGGCTGGCTCGGAGTAATTAATTATCTATATACATCACATTGGCCTCCCTGCTGCCGACTCGTCCATATGTTGATATTTGATAGTGTCCCTCTTCGCATGATGTATATTGTAAAATCGGTCGTGTGTGCCGTCGGTCGTGTGCCATCCTGCAGGCCAGTCCGTTTTCCAGCTGCGACGTAAAGGCTAAGCTACACTATGCGTGACCGTCCAGGAAATTACGTCCGTGTTCTGCAGATCCGTGATTGCGAGACTCCCTTGACATCGGTTTCTGCGATTTTCCAGAATTTCCGTGAATTATTGTATGCTGACGTAATAATAACAACTAATAAATGGTTTCGCGACAAACGCTTAAGTTTGCTATCTTCTATACTATTTTATTAATAATTAGTTTATTTTGTTATTAAAACATAAAAAACACGAAAATTAAAGAAACAATTATTAATTACGTCACATGGATTCATACGGTGCGTCACCAAGTGCGCCAACAACTATCTCATATCACGCAATCTCGCAGATTCTGCAAAAAAAAGTCCGTAGCTCTGAACTTTATATCGGTACGGAACATCCTGACCGTCCTGACTATCCGGCATTTCCTGCACTGAACATCCGGGATTTCCTTGACTGAATCTGCGTGATCCCAGTGTAGCCGACCCTGTGTATTTCCTATCAGCTGAACTTGACCTGCGTACCGATTTTCTGCAAAACCCGCAAACTCGCAGATCACGGACTTAGGATCCCGCATAGTGTAGCTAGACCTTAAGGCTCCAGCGGCGGCCTGAACCGGACTCCCCAGTCCCCAGCTTCAACAGTGCGATGTCTTGGAGCAGTTCGTCTGCCTCCCCGGCGAGAGCAACAACACGCCTTCTATCGGATGGAACGCGGTGGGCTCGAGTACACCGCAGATGAAGCCGGGTTCCCTCGTTCGTTCTTAGTGCCATTTCTGAGGGGACGCCGCTCTTAGTGTGCTGCTGAGCCGTGCGCCAGCGTCCAGTGTTTAGAGTGCCACTTTGGAGTTATCAAGCACTGAATGTATCTTGCCTTAGGTCTGTTAATTGGCCTTGGGTATGCATGGCACCATCAGTGTGGCTCGGATGATGAGCTCGGTCTTAAAGGTAGTGTGCCAGCTTTCCTGGACCGTATGGAGTTAATGGCCCAGATAAGGAGAACCGGATTTTTAGAACTTATCCATACCTTCAAAACTCATGGAAACGTCTTAAATTCTTCAAATTTTGAGTACCCCAGTGCGAAATTCGCCCCGATGGGTTGTCGGTCGTACCCCAACCACATTTCACACCACTATGAACAATAAATGCACACACTGAAATCGCTATTACCGATAGGCTCATCCAATCAAGTTTCGATAAACCCGTTCATCATCATCTCCTGCGGTTTCGAACACGCCTGTTAGGTGGTGCGGTAGACCGCGCCCAAAGCCAGGGCCCCGGTAACGTGAGGTAGCCGAGTCGGGGCAGCGTGCGCTGACCCAACACATTGCTCCAACAGACGGTAAATAACTTTTGAAAATACCTATCTCCAATTTTAGTGTTTTCTGAACCAAAATTTTGCGAGGAATCCGATGGTGTGGTCCCTGAAATCTGAAAAATTTCCATTTTGGAGATAGCACCTATTTTTTGAAAAGTAAATATTCGTCATGCACAAAAGTCAAATAAATTGAAAATATAATGAGTGAATATTTATACTAACACTAGAATGTATCGAACATGAATTAGTGATATATTTTAGCTGAGGTGATACTATATCTGCTCATACATGTACATGAATTAGTACATTAACCCTTGTCGGCCGAGAAGGGGTGGGGCGGATGCCGCCTCATAGGGGTTTTTCGCGATAGCTCAAAACACGCTGAGGGAAAACAGCTGAAACTTGGCATACCTAATATTTTATTCAAGCTGGATCTTTTGACACCAACTGCGTTTTCAGGTCAGGTCAGGTCACTGACCTATGACGTCATAAATGAACCTCTGCACGGTCCTCAGAAGTTGCAACTTTGCAACGCCCTCAGTGCCAGAGGAACTTTCACAGGAAGATGAAACTTACAGGACGTAGTATCCTTTAGAGGTCTCACAAATTGTATGTCTCAGATTTTTCCCAAATGTCACATGAGGTCAGTTCGGTCACGTGACCTCACCATAATAAGTCAATGGAGGGAAATATGAAAACTGTTATTTAACGCCGGAAATTGTCTAAAAACTGTCTCAAGCACATGAAATCGTGGTTTCATGCACTCTTTGTAAGGTCCGATCATGAAACCACGATTTCATGTGCTTGGTATAGTTTTAGATCATTTCCGGCGCCAAAATAACAGTTTCAATATTTCCCCCATTGACTTATAATGGTGAGGTCACGTGACCGACCTGACCTCATGTGACATTTAGGTTAAATCCGAGATAAAAAAGTTGTGAGACCTCAGAAGGATACTACGTCCTGTAACTTTCATCTTCCTGTGAAAGTTTCTCTGGCACTGAGGGCGTTGCAAAGTTGCAACATCTGAGGACTTCGCAGAGGTTTATTTATGACGTCATAGGTCAGTGACCTGACCTGACCTGAAAACGCAGTTGAGGTCAAAAGATCCAGTTTGAATAAAAGATTAGGTATACCAAGTTTCAGCTGTCTACCCTAAGCGAGTTTTAAGCTATCGCGAAAAGCCCTATGAGGCGGCACCCGCCCCACCCCTTCTCGGCCGACGAGGGTTAATGTACTAGTTCATGTACATGTATGCGCAGATATAGTATCATCTCAGCTAAAATATATCTCTAATTCATGTTCGACACATTCTAGTGTTGTTACAAAAATTGACTCATAATATTTTCAATTTATTTGACTATTATGCCTGACGAATATTTATTTTTCAAAAAATAGGTGCTATCTCCAAAATGGAAATTTTTCGGATCTCATGGACCACACCATCGGATTCCTTGCAAAATTTTGGTCCAGAAAACACTAAAATTGGAGATAGGTATTTTCAAAAGTTATTTACCGTCTTTTGGGGCAATGTGCCAAAGCCGGGGCCGCGCGTCCTCCCGGTGTCATGTGATAGCCCGGGGCTGCCCGCGGGGATGCGGTAGACCGCGCCCAAAGCTGCGGCCCCGGCTTGGGTCAGCGCACGCTGCCCCGACTCGGCTACCTCACGTTACCGGGGCCCTGGCTTTGGGCGCGGCT